CCCCCCCCCCCCCACAAAAACAAACACTGGATATTTTTAAGTTTCTTCGTTGTTCTCACTTGAACAATCATCACAGAAAGGTAGTAAACAAGAAGGTTAGTCAACATGCTCTTAACGAGTGTTAACCTTTCCCCATTGGACAAATAGTTTCTTTTCCAGCCAGCAAGCATTTTCTCAAACATATCCACCACTAGTTCCCAAGTCTCCCATCCTTGTATTTAGAGTCCAGCGGGATACAAAGGTATTTGATTGGAAGTTTCACTAATATGCAACCCAACACCCAAACTAACTTCATTCGTTCAATCTCTTGGTGTCACCAATTCAGATTCTTTCAAGTTTATGTTCAAACCAAAAACTGCCTGAAAGCACAGGAGAACACACAGTAAATTCAGCATTGTACTCTTCTCAGGTTGACAAAATATCAGGGTATCATCAGCAAAGAAAATATGTGTAACCTCTAACTGTTGCCCCACTTTATCAACTATCACTCCCCTAATCAACTCTAGCTCCCTGGCTCCCTCCAATAACTTGCTCAAAGTATTCATAACAATGATAAATAATAGAGGACAGAGAGGGTCTCTCTGCTTCAGACCTCTAGAGGCCTTGAGAAAAGAATATGGGCCCCTATTTACCAACACTGCAAAAGATGTAGTAGTAATGCAAGCTTTCATCCATTTCCTCCACTTATTCCCAAACCCCAACCTCCCATACATATAATCTACAAAGTCTTAACTCACATAATCATACGCCTTCTCCATCCAGCTTGCACAAAGCTCTTTCCCTCTTATTACTCACCAAGTCATCCACCACTTCATTTGCCACCAACACGGCACTCAAAATTTGTCTTCTTTCACTAAACGCATGTTGAATCTCCACAATCGTTTCTCCTAATATCTTAGACAAACGTCTAATTAACACTTTAGAGATTATCTTTTATATGCATCCCACCAAATTGATGGATCAGAAATCTTTTATATGTTGTGCACATTCCATCTTAATAATAATAACCAAAAAGAGAGTGCATATTGATCATAGAAAGACTAATGAGATGGAGTAAGATAATGGTGAATGCATGTTATCTCCGTAAAAAGGCCGATGAGACTGGTAACCATGTGCTTCTATGTTGTCTGGTGGTGTACAGACTTTAGACTATGATGTAGGGGATTCTACAAATCAACTGGGTAATAGCTAGCTCAGTTAAAAAAGAATTATGGGCAAGGAAGAGTATTAGTGGGAGGAGAAAACAAGCAGATCTCATTACGCTTACTACTTTTTGGGCGATCTAGAAAGAGAGAAACATTAGAGTTTTTTAAGACGTAGATGTTGATAATGATTTTGACTTTATTGAAAGGAGATGGTTCTATAACCTCTTCAATGTATAGGTTCTTGCAAAATTGAGTTACATCTTCTGCTATTACCTCACCTCGCACTTCCATCACGTTATTATCAAGCTCAAGCTCTTTAATTAAGTATCTTCCTTTTTTGTACATTTACTACTCTATAGAATTAGCGAGTATCCACATCCCGTTCCTTTACCCATTTAAGTTTGGGCCTTTTGTCTCGAACTTCTATCCTCAAGTAACATCATTATCCACTTCCTTTCTTTCTGATGTCCAGAGATGTTACTCTCTGCGCTCTCTCATCTCATCCAATATCCTTGTTTTCCTAAAGCTGACATTCCCAAATACCTCCTTATACTTCCAGCTTTCCTTTCAA